TCGATTGTCAGAATACACTATATTTCAGGACGGAGGGAGTATGTTATTGTTATAGATTAGAAACATCATCGATGGATATATATAGGCATAAGCTGATCCATAAATTACGTACCCACATGCACACGTGCATCTAGTTTGGAGGCAGTGTGGTGCAGCAGCGTGGTGCAGCAGCGGAATGTAACCGTCGCATCCTGACCTGAATTGCGCACTGCCCTCGGAGCTGGTCCTGGCTTTGCATGATTCTTCGCACACTTCTATGTGTTGAAGAAGCAGTCATAATCCACGTCTGTGCACTCCATTTTACCAATCTTTTCACACACATGCATAAATCATGTTAGTTAAACATGCAGCATATGACACTACAGATACAAGCATGCATGTGTGTACTGACACTTCCAGATGCGACTGCTGAGATCAGCTAACCTCGACGTGCGGGGGGGGGGGGGGGAGTTGGCGTTTGCCACTGAGGTCTGGATCGCCGGAGTGGACAGCGGACGATGATGCTGCCAACGTCGCTCCCCATGGGGACACGCACGTCATCGACAAGCGTGACATCGTAGATGAAGTCGATGTCCTCTCCATTGTACCAACCACGTTTCTTTCCCTTGATGCGCACCACGTTCCCTGACCGCATTTCACGACTCAATCGTTCCGGGAACTTTGTGACTGGTCCTGATTCATGCGTCCTACGGTAAGTCGTTTTATTTGATATTCTATACACAAGAGACATTTCTTCGAGAATATACATTGATTAAAATCTTTTTTACCATCTTATCTTATAGACATTTAATATAAAGCTTCAAGTTGTTGTTTATAGAGCAGCATTATACCTAAATCTATAGGCATACAAGCTTGAAAATTCGATTTTCAATGCAAGATGATATTCTGTAATCATAATTTGGGATTTTTCTCATGCAATGAGTCCCACAATGCATTTGTTATTTCTCTCAGCCATATACTCATTCTAGAGAGTAATCAGGAAATATATATCCTGAATTCACTGCACTTCAGTGGTAGCAGAATATCCTACATTAATTTAATCATGAACTTAACAAATAATTCTACTATTCAGAGTAATTCTTGAAAATTTCTTCTTCGTTTGAGGCATGCATATATTAACATAAATTGGATATTGCACATATAAGTTTACTACATGTAAACAAGTAGCAAGGTGCAAAATGTAGTGGACGGTTAGTCAACATATTCTTAGAAGTATCCTATCATTTTTCAGGATTATGGTATATGCAAATTTCAGAATTAATACCAAGTATTATTTATTCATCCCAAAAAAAATTATGCTAAGAAAAACAAATGAGCCTCTCAAAGGTGATAAATCTAAGGTCTGCAGGACTTAAAGTGATCTCATATATACCTTCTACCATGTTTCTAGAGTAATCATTCATAGTTTTACTCTTGCAATTACATAGTATAAGATTCATAATGTGTGATAAATAAATGCATTCAAAAGCACATAAATATATCAACACAAGGTATATGCACATGAACAGAAAATAAGTACCATAATGTATAGAAACATATGACCCTTACTACACAAACTTTTCTCCAAAATTTGAGATCTATGCAATTTTCAGATTACATATAGATCGTATTGCAAAGGTGAAGAACTTGTGTTCTCAAACCAAAAAAAACCCTACATGGCTCTTTTTTTTTTCTTCCGTTCGCTGACGGCTACCACGATAGGCTTTCTCAAACCTACTTGGCCTGATTCAACCGAGAACAAAAGAAACTCGATGGTTAGAATTCGCAACCTCAAATATCTGCGGTGATGATGATGCGCCCCAGATCTGCTAGGCATGCAGGCCTAGCTCATGGTGGCAGGTGTGGAGGCACAAGCTCAAACAGCTTACATTCTGGCCACGGATAGCAACTACGTCCACGGCGTGTGGGATGCGGCCTCATCGTCGGGATTCAGTCCGAGGCGAAGCGGCCAACGGCGTGACACCGGCGCTAGTGCAAACAAGTGGCACGTAGAGACTGCTTGCAGCGTGCGGGCTGCGTGCAAAGACGAGGTGTGAAGCGCGGCGGCAATGCCATTGGCTTCGAGCCGGGGAGCATGAGCCGTGCAGACCACTGATCTTAGTTCCTTAGTGGCGCCTTTTGACAGGCAACAGATTGATTTGGTGGTCAGGTCATTGCCTTCGACAAAGCTCGGGGCCTGATGGTTTCAACACCGACTTCACCAAAAAGTGTTGGCCCATAATTTATGAGGATTTCTATAGACTTTGCAATGCTTTTTACTCAGGAGCTATTTGCTAACAGAGTATTATAATGGATCTTTGATTACTCTGGTGCCAAAGCATGATAGTGCTATTAGGGTGTATGATTTCAGACCTATATCTCTCATTGAACACTTTAGTGAAGATTATTACAAAGTTGTTTGGCTAACAGATTGCGAGATGCTACTCCCACAAATTATTCAGACAAATCAATATGGTTTCATCAAGCATAGATGCATACAAGATTATTTGGCTTGGTCCCTGTTGTTCCTGCACCTTTGTCACCAGTCTAAGAGGGAGATTGTCATTCTCAAGCTAGACTTTGAAAAAGCCTTTGATAAGGTAGAGCATAATTTGATGATTAGAATTATGGAACAAAAGGATTTCACGACAAAATGATTCAATGGATGCATCTCATTTTCAATTCTAGGACTTCTGTTTGTCATCCTTAATGGAGTTAAAGGAAAACTTTTCATTTTAAGAGGGGGGTCAGACGTGGGGACCCCCTCTCACCTCCTCTCCTTTTGTTTTGGTCTGCTGATTTCTTGCAGATCTTCTTAACTCTGCCAGAGAACATGGTCTTCTATCTCCGCCAAGACTTCTCTCCACCTTGATCAGGATTTTCCAAGTGTTGCAATATGCTAATGACACACTAATTTTCATGAAGGCTGATGCAAGGGAGCTTTTTTTTCTGAAAGCTATGCTAAATTCTTTTTTTGAATCAATCTGGCCTAAAGGTAAATTTTGACAAATCCATGATGGCCCCGTGAATGTTGCTTGATGACAAGCTTGAAATCCTCTCAAGAACTCTGGGTTGTTCCAAAGGATCTTTACCTTTCACTTACCTAGGGCTGCCTCTGAGCCTCACTAGGCCAACAATTTCTTGATTCTTGCCACTTTGGTTTTAAAACGTGAGAGAAGGCTAGTGACTATTTCAGGTTTTCTAAGTCAAGTGGTAGATTGTAGTTAACAAATGCAGTTTTTCAGTGCCCTTCCAACCTTTGCAATGTCCACCTATCTCCTCCCAAAGACGGTCATCAAACAAATTGACAAATTTCATAAGCATTGTTTATGGCGTGGCTCGATGTTAATAGTAAAAAGCCACCCAAGGCAGCTTTGCCCATGGCTTGTATCCCAAAGGAAAGTGGAGGTCTGGGAATTTTGAATTTGCATACACATAATCGAGTGCGCTTCTAAAAAAATTGCATAAGTTCTTTAATAGATTGGATATTCCACGGGTTCACTTAGTGTGGACAATGAGATACTCAAATGGAAGACCTCCAACTGAATCTTCAAGGAAGGGCTCTTTACGGTGGCGTGACATTCGTAAGCTTCACTGCATTTAAAGGTATGGCTATGGCAGCAGTTGGAAATGGCTCCCCATGTTTTTTTTCTGGCTTGATTCATGGAATGGTTTCTCTCTCAGCACTAGTATGGCAGAACTCTTTTCTTTTGTCAAGAACAAACACGCCACTGTTCAGCAAGTTTGTCAGTCAACCCATCTTCATGATAATTTTCACCTGCCTTTGTCTCGAAGAGGCTTTCCAAAGCAGTTCACTCAGCTTAGAGCTTTAGTTCAATCTCTGGTCCTGGCAGAAGGTTTTGACACATGGTCTTATATTTGGAACTCTAGCCTTTTCTCTTCTAAACGTGCATATGTGCATCTAATTGGCACCAGACAAGTACATCCTGTCTTTTCCTGGCTCTAGAAATCTTGTTGTCAAAACAAAAGAAAGTTCTTCTTCTGGTTACTCCTTAAAGATCGACTAAGTACAAGGGAAGTACTGGGGAGAAAAACCATGGTGCTAGATGATTATAATTGTGTTCTATGTAACTTGATCACCGAGGAAACTTTGGTACATCGGTTTCTAGCCTGTCCTTTTTCAGAAGCCTGCTGGGCAACTCTTGGGCTGATAATTCAGCAACCTTCAGATCCTTTGGGACTTTGGATTCCTTCAGACAGCAGCTCCATCAACCCTTTTTCATGGAAATTATTGTCACCATGTGTTGGTCAACATGGACTGTCAGAAATTATGCTATCTTCAGGAATGTGCAGCCTTCAGTTCAGAGTTGCAAACTGATCTTCAGAAGAGAATTTGCTCAAGTTATTCTTAGAGCAAAAAATAGTTTAGCTCCTTTACTTATTCAGTGGCTAGAAGCTTATGTGTAATTTTGTTAATCTTCTTTGTTTCCTTCTTTGTATCATGATCCTTCGATGTAAGAACTGCTCAAGTTTTTAATAAAAGCACAGTAGGGGGGGCACCCCCTCCTCTTCTAACATTGCTAATACTGTAATGGAGCTCCTGCCCCCCGTCCCAGATCCTTGGCCTCAGGTAGTAGTGCATCTTTCTTTTGTGTGGTCAATATTTTGGTACTTTGTGCAAGGAGGTTAAATCACCATGGCTGCTTTTAATCTTATGATCAGTTATTACTTTCGTATTAACAATATTATTTCTGGCCTTTGGCAAATTATGGACTAGCTGATTCAGTATACATATTGGTACTAAAAATCGGACACAAGAATCTCAAGTTACCTTGTAAACTTCTTTCAATAGAATAATTAATACGATTAAAATTCATTTGGAACTACTGACAGCTTACTTTATTAAAAGAAATGCATGTTTCTCAGTCATGCCCGTATGATCACCTTTCATCATATCCCAGTATTACTGGTGTATTGGATTCCTTGAGGAAATCCCAACAACACTATTTAATATATCTGCTATGTAGGTTGTTGAACAGGGTTTTGCAGCCCTTGTAGCAATGGTTCAAGCTTGGGAGAGCTCTGCACCAGATGAAAACAAGACACATGAAAAGAGGGTCTGGCAGTCAGGCCAGTCTGCTATTGCTCAAACAATTTCATTACTGTTACAAAAAGCTTGGTTGTTGCAAGTTGACAATATGGTATGTTACGTTTGCTGTTGACCTGTTGTCTTGAGGTATTCATGCAGTGAAATTTGCTTGACTGTTTTCAACATTCATTTCAGGAGAACATCGTTTCTGCATTGCCACCTCCGTCATGTGTAAATGATGCTTCTGTGTTACTTGAGTTTGTCATGAGTTCTGTTACTTGCATGGAAGAAACTGCAAGTATGAAGGTCTTTGAGCTGGTAGCTATATGGGCTGACACTATTGCTAAGTGGGACTCCTGGGAGGAGATGGAGGATCAGGGTGTTTTCAACGCAATTAAAGAAGCTGTCAGTTTCCACCAAAGATTTGACCTTGATGGTTTCTTCCTGAAAATGCTTCCATCGCAGTCTGAAAATGGTTCACAGAGTTCAGTCATTGGTCGGGTTTCTAATTTTGTGACTAAGGCAATTGCAGCTTACCCATCTGCAACATGGAGGGCATGCTCATCTGAATCCGAGATCAAGTTAGCTGGTAAGTGGCTATGTACAGATCACTGCATTGTTTTACGCTGTTGATATTTTCTCTCTCTGACATCCAATGAACATGGGTCATCTTTTAATTGTTTGTTTCCTTGATGCAGTGCTAACATTATCAACTGTGATTAACCATCTTATGTCCCTTTCCATGGGTGGCACCAAAGTGTTACAAGACTGCTATGTATCACTGATGGAATCTTGCATTCAGCTGAAGGAAGTTCAAGAGGATGGGGACAATGATGATGACGATGGTGCTGAAGATCTTGATGATGACGATGAAGACGAAGACACCGAAGACGATGATGAGGTAATAGAATGAAGACACTGCTTTCTATATTTTTTTGTCAGGCTTAAGCACACTGCTTATAAGATAAATATACTGCAATTAGGATTCGGACGATGATGATGTGCGGGAAGAAACAGAAGAGGAATTCCTTGAAAGATATGCACTAGCTGCTGCGGGTGAGTCAATCGAGGCTATCGAGGAAGGAGACATTGATGAAGAAACCCAAGACATTGAATTGGGTACGTTCCTTCATCTGTTACCCCAATCTGCTTTTTTGCCTAAAACATGTGGGGATAGTTTCATGACCACTTGCCACTTGAGTAAACGCAGGCTCTCTAGATGACGTGGACATACAAGAGGTGGTTATTTCCCTGATGCAGAAACGTCCTGCTTTGCAGGCCCAAACGTTTCCAGACAGCCTGGTTGAAAGAATTACAGAAACATTCCCAGAATACGAACAGTTTTTCCAAGTCCATCGACAAGCTTAGAGTATAGGAAACATGTGCAGATTTTCCTTTTTGATATGTTTGTATGTCTTGTCATTTTTTGTTAGCTTAAGTATTTCCCCTTGAGCTCTGTTCTGAGAGGTATTTTCTTGTCAGATATGTAGTGACATTTCAAATTTTTATTTTCCCTTGATGTGAGATGTGAGTGATAAGATATGCGTGATGATGTCTGAGGGTTACATATGTGGTGTGGGCATAATTGTAAAACATTGTATCAGTTCGTCGTTCTACCATTTTGCCATGTTTTTGCAATCTCCATTTTGCCATGATTGGAGAGGGTGGACGGGGATTGTGGTGGGGCTATTAGATGGTCTCGGGAATGCTCGGGGTGCCGCTCAATTGGAGCTCGAGCTACACGTTAATGGTGGAGGTATCTGGGGTCCGGGAGGGAGAAACGCGGGCTTGGCTTGATTGGTTTCTGGGCCACCAGTAACCAGCCTTGCAACGGAGAATGTAGGGCATGGGGAGGGAGTTGGGCTGGTGGATTTCGGCCCGAGGAGAGAAGCAGGTCAGGCTGAAAAGATGATGGAGATTTAGGTTGGTTTTGAATTGAATTCGGCCCAAGACAGATTTTGAAGATTTTATAGATTTGCAAACTAATTTTGAAACTAATTCTATACTATTTGAATCTTGCAAACTCTCAAACTTTAAAATTTGATTAAAAATAAGTATATTTTGAACTTGTTTCAAACCATTATCTTCTCATACCTTTCACACATTTTTAATGTCTTTTTAACCTGCTTTTGCAAACCTTTTAAACTATATTTTGATAAATCATTTAAAACTATTGTTAAGCTCTTTTGAAATATTTTAGAACCCTGTTTTAAATAATCATTTAAGGTATTTTGAATCTAGTTTTGAATGACAAAATAAACAATTTCAAAACCCCCTTTTGAAACTTAATTTCTCACTCTTGTTTTTGAAATATACAATTATTTTGAGAAATTTAACACCCCTTTTTAAGAAAGTTTTAAAACTATTTAATACACATTTTCAAACACTTTTGGAACCCATAAGTGAACTTGTTTTTTAAACTACTAGTTTTTGTAAAATAATATTTAGCTTATTACACCTACCCTTGTGTTGCACTTCAATATTTACAAGTGGTGAATAAGTCTTGGAGCTTACACATGCATGTGCTTAATTTTTCATAATTCGCAAGTGCAAGTACAATACCTATCCAAGAAGGTGAAGTTTGTGGTTCAACCAAAGTCGTCACCGAGTACTGAAACATATGAATTCATGTTTTCACATGTCTGTGTTTTGTTGATATCTTTGGTTTCAATAAAATGGGCATGTGAAAACATGAACTCAGGTGCTTTCCTATTTGGACTTCCTTTTATCTATGAGCCGCTAAACCATTGTTTTTATTTGTGTTACCCAACTACATCATAAAATCAGAAAAAAATTATAGTGTGACATTCACCTACATGAAAAGTCTCATATCCTTTGTCGGTAGCATAATGGGTAGTCAAAGCAACAATTTCCCTGCCAATAGAGCACCTATAGGGAAAACTATTCCCCGTCGATTTATGTTGACATGAATAAAATCAACAAACCTGATGCTGCATAGTTTTTTCTGTTGGCCAATAGTAAGAAAGTATCGAGAAATGTTTTTGATGGTTAATCGACATGAAATTTTTCCAGACATTCGGTCCCTAGCGGTATTTTCATACCGGTTTGCTGTCAGGAAAATACTTTGACAGTTTTGCTTATTTCGTCATTCCTTGACAGTTTCGAACCGCTAGGAAAATTCCAGTCCCAATAGTGTTCATTTGAAACAACTACGAATAATTGAACCAGAACAAATAAGATTGTTGCCCATATCAACATACGATCATTAGCTAGTGATGTTTCCAAACATAATACTCCACCGTCTGAGAATGTACGTAGCTATATTCTTAGACGGAGAAGTAATAGTGGCACTACATGTCTACATAAGCACAAAATACAAGCATCTTAATAACAAGTCTCATGATACAGATAAAGATGACACGACACTACATGAATATAATTCAAAGTACAGTCAACTCAAGTACTAAATTGTGACCACCATGGATATGGGGATGAAGCTGAAGTCTTGCTATAAAGTAGTAGCTATACCAGAATGATGTTCAGACATCCTTTATTAACCTGTGACAGAACATGAGCCTCCGGTGGCTATTGCCTTCACTCGCTTAAGCTCCTCCACCACCTCAGCCATGGTCGGTCTGTCATCCAAGTCTTCCTTGAGGCATTGGACTGCAAGCTTACTGATCATGTCGAGGCACTCCATGTGATGATGAGATCGAGCGTCATCACCAGATAAGATCTCTTCATCGTACAACTTCCGTCCATTTCCCTCGTCCTTGCATAACTTGATGAAGTCTATGTAGAGGCTATTTTCCCCATCCTTTGCGGGCTTCCTTGTGACGAGCTCCAAGAGCACCACACCGAAGCTGTAGACGTCGCTCTTCTCCGTGAATTGGCCAGACTTTATGTATATCGGGTCTATGTAGCCCATGTCTCCTGATACACACCACTTGGAGTACCTGCTAGCGACAGACACAAGCTTTGCCGAGCCAAAGTCAGAGACCTTGGGAGTGAGATTATCATCGAGGAGGATATTGCCTGACTTGACATCACCATGGACATGGTTGTGGCCACCATGAGAGTGCATGTAAGCAAGAGCTTCCGCTGAGCCGATGGCAATGTTCCGGCGCACTGGCAAGGACAGCAGGTGCATCTTGCCTGTGCCATGAAGCACGCTGTAAAGGCTTCCTCTGGGGACAAACTCTAAGACAAGCATGGGAACGTCTATCTCTAGGCAGCATCCAACGAGGCGGACCAGGTTAGCGTGGTTGATGCGGAACTGGAAGGTGATCTCGTTCACGAACTCCTCCTGCGGAAGCACCTCGCCTTTCGCAGTGGAGCACTTGACGGCAACCTGTTGGGCATCACCAGTGATCCCTCTGTAGACCTTTCCAAAGGCACCTTCTCCAATGGAGTTTTTGTAGCCGTTTGTGATTTTCTTCAGCTGACCCTCCGTCACTACCGGACTCAGTGGCAAAGCCCAATTTGTACTCGGCAAAGGCTTTGCCGAGTGCTGCACTCGGTAAAGACCACTCGGCAAAAAATACATCGGCAAAGTGTCTTTGCCGAGTGTTTTTTGTTGGGCACTCAGCAAAGCCTTTGCCGAGTGCCCGACACTCAGCAAAGTTGGAACGAAAAAAACCCCGAAAAAATGAGATTTTTTTTTTTAATAGGTGGAGGCCCCCACCCATCTTCGGTATTTTTCGCATATATGCGGCCGGCGGGATTCGAACCCGCGATCTCCCCCTGCGCGTGAACCTCCTCTACAACTACACCACACTTTCATCTGTATCTAGATTTCGTTTTAGTTCCCAATATATTATACTAAATCGAGTGTAAATTGCTTGTTTGAGGCCCTAAACGAATTCAAATAAAAAAGTTGTAAACCACAAAGTTTCATAACTTTTCGAGATCTACACTTTTAGTTTAGGAAGTTTTTCTATCCGAGGTCGTTTATAAAATTTGAATTTCAAAATTTTGAAATTCAAATGCAGTTTTGCATGACAAGATGGTTTTAAATCAAAAAGTTGCCAACTACAATCTTTCATAACTTTTCGAGATCTACAAAGTGTTTTCTGGTTGTTTTTCTATCCGAGGTCGTTTGAAAAGTTCGAATTTTAAAATTTTGAAATTCAAACACAGTTTTGCATGACA